ATAACTTTCGTTTCAATGTTTATGTTACATGTGTCATAACCTTGCTTTCACTTGCACACATTGAGGTTGTGGGTGGTACTCTTTGTGTTCGGGAGGAACTGTTGAATGACACTTCACAACATACTTGTGGTTTTTGGTGTATATGCTGCTAGAAAGTTTATATTCTTGTTTGACGTATTCATTTCTTATTTTGTCTTTGCAGACATAGATTTCGAGCCTCTTGTTCCAAAGAATGCACGCCTCCGAGGCCACATATAGCAGAGAAGAAATCTGCGTTATGTAAAAACAGTCATCGAACATTTTGACAATCGACAGGGGGAAGACTTCCGTGACTCATGCCTTGGGTTCTTGTCGGAGGTTTTGGATCTCCAATTTTCTGCCCAATTAATCCAACAGCTCGTATTCTGCTGCATACGAACGATAAGTGTCACGAACTGTGGTTCAACTTGCAGGGCCACCCCGCCAAGTTCAGCATTCAAGAGTATGCCCTCATGATGGGATTAAGGTGTGGTCTTATTCCGGATGACAAAGTCATGGAATGAGTTCTTGACAAGAGGAGACTAAAGGATAAATACTTTAGACATGTAGATAAGATTTCGTGCGCCAAACTGGAGCAAACATTTCTCCAATCGTCAACGCCCCGAGCCGATCGGTACAAGCTCAGCCTCGCCTTGATCATCGATGGAGTCTTTAATGCTCCGGATAACAATATTAGCGTCGCTATGGAGATGTTGTCGATCGTCGACAATTTGGACTTGTTCTTTTCGTATCCTTAAAGTAGAATCTTGTATGGACGTCTAATAAGGGGCTTTCGGGACCATTAGGTAAGGAAATTTTTGGATGCGACGAAAAAGAAGGAGAATGCGGTTAGCTACACGGTCCACGACTTTTCCATTGCCGTACAGGTACCTTTATTTGACGTATTCATTATTTCAATGCAAATGTATGTAGTGGTTGGTTTTGTCGTGAACTTACATTCCTTTTCTGCTGTAACAGATATAGGCGTTCGAGGTGGTGCCCGAAATTTGTGATGGTCCGGTCGACGTCTTGGTGAACATTCCCCACGACTTCTCGATTGGACATCAATAAAGTAGTCGCAGCAGCGTACGTACGACGCTTTCTTCAAGAATGTACAAGTAAAATTTTATGTTAGTTCTACGTTCTATTCGTCATTGTAGCATGTGGTGAATTCCTAACGAATACGTGTATGTTGCAGCTACATGTGTACGCGACGCTGCGCCCCATCGAAGCCTAGCGTGGACAACCTTATATCGCCACTCTTGTACCGTTTGATGATCGTCCTGTCCCTGCGTTGGACAACCTCGCCAGGGACAGTTTGCTCCACAGTTCCACGCAGAGCGTTTAGGCACACTCGAAGAAAACACCTCCGATGATGAGACTTCTGATAAGGCCCATGGGGGTAGTGGGACCAGTGGCGAGGAGGAGGAGTCAGGAGCTGATGACAGCGGAGAGGTCAAAGGTGAGGACTTGGAGGACCACGATAGTGGGGATAGTGACGGTGACTGAGTTCGACGAAATGGGCAGACACGGACATTTTCCACCCCCTACGTGCATGGAGCTACTTTTCCCATGCAGGCACCGTCCACCTCTTATGCCCAACCAACTACAACGGTCGGATTGAGTCTCACGACAGATGATGTTCACAGCATGTTGCTGGATCAAAGAATTCTCATAGAAATGCAGCTCCACATCGTGAAGCTCAAAATCATGCAGCATGTGTCCGACGAATTTAAAAAATTGAAGGACTTCATATCCACCGTCGTCCCCGCATCCAGCTCTACAACCACTGCACGTGCGGCTGATGTGGACCCCGAGCCCAGACAGTCAGGTACTTCACCATATGCGTACTACATTTCTTTATGATAACGTTCACTTTAACCCTGCACACATTGACATGTTTTGTATGACAATTGTTCATTCATTGGGGACTATGGAGGCTTTTCAGACTATGCAGGCCACCACCCATCACCTGACGATCCTAACAAAGACATGGGGATTGACAGGCAAGATGGAGATGGTATATGCATTACTGAAGAACACATGGAGTCATTCCCGGACGAGCAAGACATGCCACTGCCCACTGGAATTGAAAGTCTGCAAGGTATGTTAGGTTATTTATGAGCAAATTGGTGAATTATTATTTCATGTGCTTCGCGAGTTTTGAAAATTCGCAAAATTTATTTTCCACTCACAATTTCATTGTTGTTCTGAGCAGACATAGCACGCATTCAACTATGCCAGGACGATCACCCCGTGCCAGTGCCCACTAGAACTGAATAAATGCAAGGTATTGCATCGTTTATCATGAATTGAAGAAATATTATTTCAGGCATCCGCTTACTTTGCAATTTCTCATTTGTTGTAGCCGAAGGGGGCCACCACCCGTCGCATAATGACCGTGACGAAGAGGAGGACATGCTACCTACTGAAACCGAACATCTGCAAGGTATATAAGTCATTTATGAGGAAAACTTGGACATTGTTATTTCATATACTTGGCATATTTTGAAAATTCCCAAAAGTAGTACACTCCAAATGTTTCATCATTGTTTTCGACAAACACAGCAGACATTGAGCCATTCCTCGACAATGACACCGTGCCAGTGCCCGCTGGAATCGATGAAGTGCAAGATATTCCATCATTATCAAGAACTAAATTTATTTTTCATGCCATTTGCTTATTTTGCAACTTTCCCAGTTTTCGCCACTGTAGCCTGAGCTGGAGGGCGAGTTATCACAACGAGACGGCGATCGGCGTGGCTGCGACGTTTGGCACCTGCTACCAAGACTCCGTACACGAGGGGGGCGCGAAGCAAAAACAGAATTAACTATGGATGAATTGCCGAATGTAGCATGACGATGGGTTTGAACATGCTTTTGCAAATTTTTTGACTTGATTTAGGTGGTGAAGGATGTATGTTAATTGCCTGGATACTTGTGGCCTTTTAATTCATTTATGTAATTTACATATCACCCAAGCTAGTTGGCAAGCGTGGTGACACTTTGACGCATTCCTCACATTTTGCAATTCCCGTGGTCAATGCCGTGCCACTATTTACCTTTGCTGACATTGTTGTGGTGTTACAAACTGCATAAGTTCTCCGGCTTTACTATGTTACGTGAATCATACTTATGGTACTTCGTGCCTTGATTCAATTTTTGTCAACGCTGGTACATTATATTAAGCAAAAATTTATGTATGTGAACGTTTTACGAATATCCGTTTAGGAGTAGATGGCGGGATTGAATGTTGTAGTGCCTTCATAACCTATAGATTGGATTAAGATGAGGACCCATTAAAACTGCCAAAGTTATGACTACCATGGACATCAACTAATTCACAAATGAGTGTATGTAAATTTCCTTGTCACTGGTATGTTCTTATGTGGGTTAAGATGATGAGCATGTTTTGTGAAAAACTGTAGCATTACAACTATGGTGCAACTAACAAGTTGACAAATGAGAAGTAATTTGTTGCAAGAAACCAGATAACATCAATTTTATACATCATTGAACTATTCAAGTCACTGCCAATGTCATAGTAATTATGGTAAAATGGGGGATAAATGTACACTTATTATATTCAACCATCATACCAATTGCTTTTCAAATTTAATTAGAGGTTGGACTTGGTGGTTGGGTAGATAATGAAGTAATTGCTTCCTCCTTTTAGGATGATTATAAATACCATGAGATCATTGTTACCTACAAGCACTTTTGCAGCCAAAGTATTGTGCCACTTTGAACTTACCCGAAGAGCATTGTGACACTTTCAACGTAGTTGAACAACATTGTGGTAAAAAATAGCTACTTCTATTTATTCTGTAGTTTACCAAACTCGAAGTTACACGATCTTTAGTGCAATGCACATTTTTGTCAATTGCCGAGAATGAATAAAATATCTGTCAGGACCGACAGTTCAACTAGGCAAGCCGTTCAATTTTATAAGTTTCTTGTTTCTCGAAAATTGGAAATGGTGGGATTTTCCAATACAAGTATCTTAGTTTAACATGTTATTGTAGATATTATAAGTTTATCATTTTTTGCAAGTAACAGGTCCTTCCAATACAAGTAGACTTACATATTGAAGGCATCACAAGCATTGTCTATCAAAGTACATTTCAGATGTTATACCATATGTTGTGAGACTCCCGTTTTGAAACAGGTAGTTGATACGAGATAATGAGTTCATCCACCTCCAGCAACGAAACATTCAACTCCAATATGCATCCGTCGATAATGGGTTTATTCACTGAATTTTCCATCATTTTATTGTCAGACGATGAAGAGGTAAGAGTTGAGCACTATGGTGTCGAGTTGGACGAAGTGTCAAGTGCAGAATCTAAATCACCGAACAACGTTCTCGATCAAGTCTTCGAGGTTAGGGGTCCAGTTGAATCATCGTCCGACTCAGATGAGTGGGTGGCTCATGTTCCACCTCTAGAAGTAATTATCATTAGCTCGGACAAGTCTGATGGAGAAAGTGGGGGAGACGCTTAAATTGTCGAAAGTAATGCAAGTGTGCAATAAATGGATAGCCCTTTTGTAGGAAATTATGTATAGTATTTTGTGGTATAGATATTTTGGTCACTGTGGTACCATGAAAATCAATTTTCCATTTCGACAAACTATCAGTCGAAGCTAATGGAACTTCTATGATCGGTTAAGTTTATAGTAAGAAAAATGTATTCATCCCGTTTGTGGTAATGGAACTGTAATGATCGGTAATTTACTTGCGAAACATAACGACCAAATTTGTATTGGCATATGATAATAATAACATATTCAGAAAATAAGTTAGGAATGTACAATGCTTATTTAAATTACATTTTCGAGGATTACATTTCACAACCACTTTTATACATCACGCTTGTTCAAGTGGCTTGTGATACAGTGGGTTTCGAACACGTGGTCCGATTATGAGCAACTCTCCCACATCGAGTGCATCTCCTCAATCGGGTAGTGGACTCGTATCTAGCTCACTTACATCGCGTGGGTGGTCTACCTGGAGGACGACGTACAACCGGTGGCAAAATAGGAGTACCTAGGATTTCATTTGGAACAACCCAATCCACTTCCTTTGTAACGGGAGATATTACTTCCATATAGGCACACATCCAGTATTTCGATGTATAGTACAGAGAGCATAGATCGTATAATGACTTACCACTCAGGGTAGCAGCACGAGTTGCATGAGCACATGGCATAGGATTTAGTTGAAACTCACGATAGGTGTACATGTTGTCAGAGAAGTCCACTATCTCTGTATCATTATATATTCTAACCTGGGTCAAGTTGTTTGTCAACTCATGGGCTCGAAGCCTAGTTCCAGCTTCAAATATTGTCTGTAACTCGTTCTCCATCCTCGAAGACAATATACTACTGCATGAAGTTGCATTGGTTCGACGTTCATAAAACCACTTCTGCATTGTTTTACGAATGTGCTCGACCAAGCACGTGTTTGACAACAAACGGGCATGTCTCAGCATTGAGTTCAATGATTCTGCGTTGTTGTTTGTCATGATGTTGTACCGGTCACCCACGAATAATGCTTGTGACCAGAATGAAAAACTGGCTTGCTCCAAATACCCGTAACATCTTTCGCTGACCCTACGAATCTGTCCCATTAGTCATTCAAACTTTTCGACCCGATAAGTTGTAGCAGCTCGTTTGAGCAGGAATATTGAACTTGCGTTAAAGTGCAGCTGGATTTGGTTCTTTTTCACATGCCACATACAACAACCAAGATCTTTCAAGTTAGACATAAACCACATCCAAGATCTATTTGTTTCGGAATCCACGATCCCTCACGCTAAAGGATAAATCTGTTTGTTAGCATCTTGGGCAGTTGCCAGTAAAAGTGTACCCTTGTATGGATCTTTCAAGTGACTAGCGTCAACACAAATAATGGGCCTCAAGTACTGCATGTAACCACGAATACTTGTACCAAAAGCCAGGAAGAAGTAATGGAACCTATTATGCGAATCAAGTTCGATGTGGGTTACCGTCCCCAGGTTATTCTCACCTAAGACGTGACAGTATGAAGATAGTTTCTAAAAACTGTCCTCTGGTGTCCCATGCAGCATGTGTAAAGCAGCTACCTTCCCCCTACGTGCCTTGCTGTAACTTATTTGGACACCAAGCTCACGTTCCATGTCACGTGTAATAGTGCTCGGATCATACGATCGGTTTTGATTATCCAATTTTCCCAAAATGTGCTCGGTAATTACAGAACTTGTCGCATGTCGATGCGCGTTACTTCGAAAATAGATGGAACATGTGTGAACATTATTGAATTTATGGATCACAAAGACTGTAGACTGTTTCACAGTAGAAGCACGTAACGTCAACTTGCAGTTGCTATCGGTGCATACAACGGTTAACATCTTTATGTTTGACCTGTTCAACCGAAATTGGAACTTGTCTTTCAAAGCAAGTGCACGAATTGTCGAGTACAACTCTTTCTTGCTGAAAAATATTTCATTTTCAGCAAGATCGGATGTATTCACAATTCTCATCAATTCATATCCATCCGAACCGTTGGAATGTGATGAAGACTGCTCGTCGTCGACGTCAACAAAATTAGCATCCTCTAAACTAGGTAATGGGTTATCCAAGTTCTCATCTAATAGTATAGTCTCATTATCATACTCATGTGTTTCATGTGCATTATTGTTTGAGACACTATGCATTTGATTCACCAAATCATATTCCACGTTTTGCAGAACATCCACTGTGGCAAATGAAGGATCTTGAAAAATTGCATCCCTTCCAATATCAACACTAGGCAGATCGGATTCCAAAATAGTAACGCAGATAGCAGTTTCCCTATGCACTGAATGTACCAATTGAAGTCTTCTTTGTCACGTATTTCGGCCAGAGGTATATTCAAGTTAGGGACTTTGAACTTCAATTCAATTTGAGCGCGATGATCGACAATACCAATTTTCTCCTTCAACCTTAACAAAAGTTTAGCTACGGTAATACTTGTTGGCACCAGAATGGAAGTAGTTTTGTCCCCTCTCCACTTCCATTCGTCATCCGCATGAACAAAATTTCCTTCATGCGATACGATGAATCTCAAATGATTACTCATACCTAAAATGTTGGGATCATAATGGTAAGAATTTAGAGTCAATATGTTGGCATTTAATAGCATGAAAATCGCACTATATAATACGTAAATCAGTACGATAGCAAAAGATCAAATCAAGGGTTTCCATCGTTTTGAAGTGTCCGAATTGAAAGTAAAATTGTATAACCCGACAATTTGTAAATGTCGGGTCGACATCTCAAACATCTAACCCTATGGTTTGTAAATGTCGAACTGGACAGTTCAACTGTCGAGAACGTTGGAAAGCAGTAGACAGTGGGTTTCTCAGGCTTCTTCAACACATCACATTAAGTGTGGTCATTATTATTCAGCTACCAAATGACAAAATGTAAATGGCATCTGGGTCTTGTCATTAAAGAAACCTTAATGGTGGTAATGGAAGGAATTACTCCAAACCTTAATGGTGATAATGACATTTTGAAGGATTCCAAAACCAAACAAATAAATGCATAATACTTTCAAAAATTTCAAAAAAATATGCCTATGTTGTATTTAACATGTACAAATAAAAATGTATAAAAGTAAAATATAAATACTTTGTAATTGCTAACCTCTTAAAATGAATGAAGAATGCAACACAAATATCTTCTTGATCAATGAAAATGAAGAAGATGGAGAAAAGACAGAATTTCTTGTTTATGTTATGTTTTCAAATTTCTTTGGTGATTTTTTATTAACAAAAATTCATATTAATCAATAAAAAATATATTTCTCCATATTTTCTATATAGAAATTAAATAATCACATTAAGTCAATGTTTTTCCTTCAAATCAAGCATTTAATGCTATTAGAAATGTGTCATTAAGGGTAATTTGGACTTTGCACCCCAAAAATATGACCTTTTTGCTCACAAAAAGTGAAAATGACAAATTTTTTGGAACTTTCATTTTTTTTTTTGTTGACATTTTTGTAAATTCCCCAAAAAATAATTACTCTATGTTTATCAATAATTATGTCCTAGCTTTATATTGGAATTATATTAGGTCAATATAGGATATCGTATGCAAAAATGATGTTTAGTTAAAAAAGTTGTTGAGTGAGTTGATCCACGATCATTGTTGTTGAACATAATAACGAACTTTTGACTAAATAAATAAAAGTTGTTTGGTTAGATCTATTTCAATCCACAAAGAGAATGTTACAGCATCTAATATCATGGACACGATGAAGGTCAAAACAAATTTTACCTTACAATTAACGATAAATTGAATTTCTACAAGAAGTTATGCTTCAAGCGTGTCATGAAATGGGTGGTTGATACTTGACGTGTATCCAACTATTTAGCTAACTTTTATTCGTTGCTTTTTTCTACGAGTATATTGCTCAGAAGACATTCGTTAGCTAAAATTGGAACTAGATTCCTTCATTTCTTAAACTTCTTAACGGTGGTATATATGAGTCCATTCATGACTCCCTCGGATCATTTAGATATTTTATGATTTTAAAATTTACATTCTATTATCAACTCACAATCTGAAGTTTGTTAGAAAAAATTCCCATGAAAGCAAAATTTCATATATTTATTTGTTACATGTTATTTATATGCATCCTCGAAAGCATTAAACCAACATATTATTTTAAATCTCCATTTAAAATTGGTTTTGTTTTCGAAGAATGCTAAAAATATTTGTGAATCTTAAATCCCTTCTATAAAAAATAATCATCGACAATTAACATTTTACGACGTGGTTTGCTGATTGTTATGGCTAATGAGACACTTGTCCCAGCATTAAGAGGAGAAATTATATAGTTGGAAAAGAAAACATATAATTGGCATCATTGTTATCCTCTCACAAAGCAATATGAACCAAAAGTTCAATAAGCAAATCAATTGCCAAATGCAATACCAATAGAGTTACATATACAAGCCATGAATGCTCTAATTTTAAATGATGCTTCAGTTGAGCAATGTATTATTATTAAAGTATGTTGGACAAAAGTTATGAAAGACTGGGAAAATAGAGCAAACAATTAATATGGTGCAATTGAAAAAACGGCCTTGAAGAGACCGTAAGACATAACTTAGTCAAGACCATAAGATATAGGGCTTGTTTGGGAGCGATTTTTCCTCCCAAAAAATTGATTTTTTGATCGTTATTTCACTATTCCAACTGTCATATTTGACTTCGTCTCTCACAGGTGGATCTCACTTTTCTCCTAACGGTCAAAAAATCAATTCTCAAAATCACTCCCAAACAGGCTCATAGTTACTTGACTAATCCTCGAATAAGTTCAAGTAATTGAAATTTGTAAAATAAAGAGATCTCATGTTACTAAAACAAATAAATAGAATCGAAAAGTAATATTGGGTTATGAATAAGGAAGTTTACAGTCTCATATTAGCGTGTTTCCATGAATTTAGAACCAATTAAAATCAGCCATTTTCAAATTTATTGTTCACAATCATTTCAAAATTTGAATTTTATTAGCAATTTCCTGACAAAGGTTACATAAAATTGACATTTCTCAAAAAAGATTATATGTTCATCAAACGTCATATATAATAAAAAAATTGTATTTCTACTTGAAGATAAAAAAAAAAATGTTCTTAATCCTGAAGCACCATAAGTGCAATTAGAATATTAACTTACCTGCCCTCCGGAGCATAATCCAGTGGTATAAAAGATAGGAGTGATGTTATCTCACGCCTTGATGACAGTCGCACTGTAGAGGCTCGATTCCTAAGACATAAAATTAGACTCCTTGTAGGCGCAGTGTACAGACAACTCTTGTTCCCTAACCTGTTGAGGCATATCCCGCAATTTACCTCCTTCACGAAGCTTTAGGGATGAAGTGGTGGGAGTCCTTAATGTTGGAGTTCAACCTTTATTTTTAGAATATTAACTTATCTTACAAATTGTACTCCACACGAGATAACTTTTTACATAAATCATAACTCTCTACTATTCAAAGACTTTGAGCGGTGTGAAAGACAATTTTCTTTACCTGAGAGATACTATTGGCATGAAATTATTTTATTCATAAAAAATTGGAGGTCAATTTATATAAGACCTTACTAAATGCACATCAAAATTCCTACCTTCTCTTATAAGAGTCGTTTTGGAATTTACTATTCATTCTTGTAACCCTCATTTTCACACTTGGTTGAATCAATTGTTTCTAAACTGGTTTTGACTTTTGAATACAAAATATTTTTTTCATATTCTCTCCTTATTTTATTAGTTGTAATATATTTTTAAATAATATTTTCTCATTTTTTTAATTGGTCTCCAAAAATGACATCGTTTTTTATTTTACCTGCAATTTACATGCTTTGAATCTGACACACAGTACTTTTTTCTCCATTTTCTCACGCTATCAACTATCGACCATATCCTATAATTCATTAATAATAATATTTTTTAAAATATTTTTTTATATAAAAGTTATTCTTTATTTCTAAAATATAAAATGTTACTTATAAGTAAAAAATCACTTTAATTTATTTGAAAGTAATAAAAAAAATCTTATAATTGTAAATGCTACTTATAGATAAAAAAAATATTAACTTCAACATTTTTAAGTAAATATTTAGAGTTTAAATTAAATATTAATAAAAAGATTACGCTATCTAGAATGTAAAAAGTTACTTATAAGTAAAAAAAGCACTTCAAGTTATTTAAAAGTAATAAAAAACTTATAATTGTAAAAGGTACTTATAGATAAAAAAAAATATTAATCACTCATTCTCTTATAATTGTAAAAGCTACTTATTGTTAGAATATTGTGGTGTTAATGAAACAGGATTATCGCATACCGTATATGTAGTTTAGATACTGGTTTAAGCATACCGTATATGTAGCTTACCGTATATACAACTTACCGTATGTGCAACCAACTTACCATATTTGCACCTTACCATATTTGCGTCTATGACATAATTCTCGAAATGAGTTTCGAGAGAATATAGAAAATTTATGCATTCGACTACCATACAATCTTCGATGAATTTATAAAGTTAGCTTGTTATCCAAGTTTTTAATTTTTTAAATGATGTCTCTTTTGACATTAAAAAAATTTAAAAGTTTATTAGGAACGTCAAAAATTATTGTCGCGAAATTTCAAGTTATTTAAAAGTAATAAAAAACTTATAATTGTAAAAGGTACTTATAGATAAAAAAAATATTAATCACTTATTCTCTTATAATTGTAAAAGCTACTTATTGTTAGAATATTGTGGTGTAAATGAAACAGGATTATCGCATACCGTATATGTAGTTTAGATACTGGTTTAAGCATACCGTATATGTAGCTTACCGTATATACAACTTACCGTATTTACAGCCTACCGTATGTGCAACCAACTTACCATATTTGCACCTTACCATATTTGCGTCTATGACATAGTTCTCGAAATGAGTTTCGAGAGAATATAGAAAATTTATGCATTCGACTACCATACAATCTTCGATGAATTTATAAAGTTAGCTTGTTATCCAAATTTTTAATTTTTTAAATGATGTCTCTTTTGACATTAAAAAAATTTAAAAGTTTATTAGGAACGTCAAAAATTATTGTCGCGAAAAAATAATAAATATCAATAAAATAATTTAAATTTTTTAACAAAAAAGGACGAGTTATATGCATTTTTTAACACACACGTTTAATGTACGTTTAACTATTTTCGATATTCATTTAGATCATTCGATATGTTTATAATATAGTTCTCGAAATGAGTTTCGAGAGAATATAGAAGATTTATGATATATTTTTATAAAAAAATTAAATAAATCACGTAATGGAAAAAAAAATTTGACACACAAAAAAAATAAAATAAAAAATAGAGCAACTCTGCGCATCACGAAGTAATTTTGCTCCTGGCTCCATTTGCTCCGTGATGCGTGGAGCAATTTTGCTCTTGACAAATTGCTCTTGAGCCTGGAGCAAAATTACTCCGTGATGCACGGAGTTGCTCCTTCAACGAGCGCTTTTTTTTTTATATATATATAATAATGATACTCAGTGTCAAATTTTTTTTTTAATCGGTGGTTGATATTTTTTTGTGTCAAATTTTTTTTTTTTCATTAGGTGATTTATTTAGTTTGTTTTTTTAAACCTATCACAAATCTTTATAAATCTTCTATATTCTCTCAAAGTTGATTTCGAAAACTATATAATAAATACATCGAATAATCTAAATGAATATCGAAAATAGTTAGACGTACATCAAACATATGCGTTAAAAAATATGTATAACTAGTCCTTTTTTCTTTAAAAAAATCAATTATTTTATTAATGCTTATTATTTTTACGCGACAATTTTTTCAATATAATTTCCATTTTTCCTTGTTGAATCATATATGTTTTTATATAAATCTATTTTATTCTTATATAACGTGACACTAAGTATATTAAATCATGTATATTGTTTATTATTACTTGATAATTTATATGAATTATAAATTATTATACTATTTTTCCTACTTTCTTCCTTTACGCAACATCTATTAAAAAATATATATACTTCTTTTCTTCATTCCTTTACCCAACAAATAATCAAATTTGTAAATTTATTAAAAGAAATAAATAAATATTTTGACACGATAATATTACCTAAAACATAACATAAAAACTAGTTTACATATAAGATTCCTATGTTCGATACTTTTGTCCTACTAGTCATTTTTCTAAACATGATTTTTTATGAAACACGTGTAATTAATAATTTAAGGTGGAATATTGTAAACTGATTATTATATGTGAATGACTTGCACTTGTACAGCCCTAACTCAACCATAAATATAAGGTCGAATATTTTGATTCTCAATAAAAAATAAAAAATGTTGACCCTTATTTCCCTTCTCTATCTAATTTATACAATTATATTACTCAAAATATTAATATAATACCAATATTTTTTGTAATAATGTATAATAGTTTTCACTCTTCAAACGGAGTATATAAAAATATAAAATCCTTCTCGATTGATATTTTTGTCTTCTTTAAAACAAGAAATTACATTTTTCTTGATATAAATGAAGAAAAAAACTAACAGAGCCGACGAAAGAGAATCCAATGAAGACGATAACCTTTTCAAGACATTTTCCTAAGATCAATCACCACCACACTGACATTGTCCGAACTCCTCCTAGCCAAAGCCAGTTTGGTGAGGAGCATAGATGCATCTGAACAAGCCTTGTCGGAATTCTCCCCAGCACCTCCCTCACTATTTTCCAACGGCGTCACTCTGCTGGTCACAGCCCTCCCTTTTAAGCACATCCGTGCAACCCCACACGCAGTGTCATTTGACACCACGTCCCATAACCCATCGCTTGCCAATATCAAGCAGTCGTCGTCTGCGCTCCGGTCTGTAATTGTTACTTCCGGCTCACAGCTAACGTATGGCTTCAGATAATTATCACCTAGAGTATACAAATATATTGTTAGGGAATTAAACATATTTCTATTATATATATATATATATATATATATATATATATATATAGGGAGAGATTTTGTAATAGCGATATTTTAAATGTGGTTAAAAAGCAAAAAAAAAATTGGATTTGTGTGTTAAATTATTATACTGGGATCATTTGTGATGAGATTGAAGAGAAATAATTGTTTCTCAGTTGAGATCTGCTATCCATTTATGCTATTCAATTATTGATCAAAATTTTCACGAGTCAATTTACAATTGGATAGCAACAATAAAGTTGACAAAAAAAATGGACGGCAGATCTAAATTCCAAGCTGAGAAACTGCGCATTATCATATGTGCATTTCGCGGAAAATTTGGGATGATGTTCAATAAAATATTTTAAATTGAATTTATACAATTTTTGGCCCAAAAAGATTTTAAATGAAATTATCGTTCTACACATTTAGTGAAATTATTAATTTTTTTTTTCAAAAATTCATTTATTTTATTGTTTTGCAGTGTATTCTTGTGTCTTGAATTTGAATTTATGGAGTGTTAGATTCTTTATTTTTCTCCTTTTTTACCATATTTTCCAATTTTCCTTTCCTTTAAAATATATTCAGGAAGGGAAAAAATATGTATCATAAAAAAAGAAAGATCCAATTACCTATGGCTCTTGACATGGCCAGAACTCCAAGCACACGAGGCCCGTCCCAGTATATTATACGGCCACCGGCCGCTTGAATCCGATCAAGTTCATCTGGACGGTCTGGCTGCAAATCCATAAAATCGAGAATTAATTATTACGTGTACGGCTGAGATCCGTTTGGGGGTGGGGGGTGGGGACTGTATTCTTACTTTGTGGTCGCTAGATAGAGGGACGGCTTTGCCATTGCGGCAAAGCACGGCTCTTGAATCGCCGCAATTCGCAATGACGATCTTGTCCGGCGAGACTATTCCCACGACGGCGGTTGATCCGACGGCGTCGCATTCCGGCGTTTGAAGTTCGCACCGGCAATTGGCGCTTACGTTAACTACGTTTTCATTCCATGCAATTACTTCCTTGTCCATCCGAATGAAGCTTCGCTCCATTACATTCTTCCACGTTGTACTACCTCCCTTGACTTCGAGCAACAGCTCTTCCCTGATTAGTTCGTGCAATCTCTCTCTACATTTCGTCGCCACCTGAAAATTTCGAAAAAAATTGATCAAACGGAACAAATCGGCGAAAATAATTCTTTTAACGAAAACGTACGTGAGAGCATCCGTGGCCGTCATAAACAGCAAAGTAATGAAAATCTACAGAATTTTCATTTTCACTTTGGTAAAATGAAGGCTGAATTGCAACCGCATCTTCCATATCTCTCCTCCGCCCACACACAGAAGCCACCCCAAATTTCGGCCACACATCGGAAGAAGACGCCACCGACGGACTCAAAATCGGCGTCAAAAGATTCTTCTTTGTGCTCCCGTTTTCCGGCTGCAAAATCACTTCCTCTTCCCTCACCAACCGACAATTTTCCACAGCGTTGTTGCAATCCCGGGAAAATGTTACTCTAGAAAGCTCCACAGAACGAGGACGTTTAACTCCATCCTCCGCCGCCTCCGGCGGTTGCACATGAGGCACAACCTTAACACTTCGAAGCTCCATCCTCCGCCGCCGAGCGGCTCGGCTGCTTGGTTCACACGAAGTTGATGATTTACTCTCCCCTACTACTCCATAACAAATCTCAGCCATGCCCCGGCCCACCTCACCACCCTTCAAATAATTTCAAGCTCGGATTCAACTGTGCAAAACAAATGAAGAAATGATTACGGAGGTCACGAGGAATCCAATCAAAGAAAATTTTCAGTACAGCTAAGAAACCCTTTTTCCCCCTATAGTACGTGGAGAGCTATGGTGAATTAACATGATTATGACCGTTCCCGGGCAGTCTGCCCGTTGCCCTAACTGATGACACCACTCAATTTGTGCTTCCCCGCCTAAAAGATTATATCGCAACCGTTCATCTCCGGCCAAACCCATTCCACTCCTCCATTATCATCCAACACGTGTACTACCTATATCTTACAACCTCATACGTGGGCCAATAATATTCCTCCACGGCTTCGAAGGTGACTTTTGGTTTGACAGGATCGGGACCCACAAGGACGCTATTATTTAATAAGGGAAAATTCACACTTAGTCCCTGAACTTTAGCACCAATGCGATTTTGTTCCCCCACCTTTGAATTCGCAAATGTCAACGTTTCACTTCTCTCAGCATTAAATCCAAGATTTACTAATCAAATGCAATTCTGTCGTTGTAACGGATTCCTCTTGCTCTTGAACCTATGGGGTATGAGTAAAACTATTTAACCTCGTTCAGGTTACAATTTCAATCTATATGACACTAATATGACGTTAAATGATAAATAGAATTAAACGACTCATATAATTTGAAATTTCATTTAACCTATCATCTAACGCCACTTAAATTGAGATTGTAATCCAGTGGGGTTACATAGCAGTTTTTTGATGTTGTTATCATCTCGAGAGCAGTGTCTTATGCTTTACTCGGCTGCTCGACTTGCATGTGTTTGTAATGCCGCTTAGACTTAATATTGCTTCAAAATCGAACTCTCCATAACAATCATAATTGCATTGCTTATGTAGTAATGATATTTTATTATTAATTGTTTTCATCACTAATTTAGCTTCGTTTGAGCTTCATTTTTTAATGTGTGGTTAAAATATAAGCATAAAATTTGAATTTACATGCAAAATTATTTTATTAATAGAATATAATCGAAAATGAATTTGAAAAGAAATGAATTTTTAAATAATAAAACTCGAATAGGAACATAACGATATGTCTCCTATTCAATAAATAAAATTGTGATGTATTTCAAGACATTACACAAACTAATTGAGAAATCCACCATCACCCAAAAAGATGATAAAATTATTCTGTACCACATAAATATAACAAGGGATGTCAAGTAGACGAAATGCAAAAACCATTGTTAAGTTTCAAAAGTTTTAAAGTAAAATCGAGAGACAAAAAAGCGAAAATTCAGCCCCTGATTGACAATTATTATTTAATTTTTTTCTAAACATACCCATTTTTAATGATACATTCACGTAATAAAATATTTTGTGCGTAACTTTTCCTTCTTTTTAACAAAACATTCTCCTAACAATTACTATTCAAAATATTATTTTAGCCAAATGATGATCATCAAACATAGTGATAGATGCAGACATTTAAGTTAAGGGCATAATCATACATACAACAATAGAGGTGAAGATCAAAACTAAAACATTTACATCTGCTACATTTGTTCCTCAAACTTCAGTCTGCTCTCTCTCTCTCTCTCTCTACCACTTATGCTTCATAGTATTTTGCTTATATGTCTTTCTTATTCCATTGGAATCTCAATAGATCACAAGTGTGTGGGAGACTTCAAACGAAATCAACATCATATATAGTGATATAAACGCTACTTATTTCAAGCCCTATTAAAAATCGCAACAGATATTACGGCGCGTCAAAGTAATACATTTGAATAGTTAAACGTCTCTTTTTAAGATGAACGTTTGATGCATATTTAAGTATTTTCGATGGCCGTCTGGGCTATTCCATATGTCAATGATGTAGTTTTCAAAACAAGAGATGACATAGATGATTTATGAATTCGACTAGCGTACGATCATTGAAGATCTTAAATTATTATGTTATCAAAACAATAGTTTGAAAACGGGCTACTTTGATACCCCTAACATTTGCTACAATTGATCGTTTTGTGCACTATTAACGAAGTGAATAATTAGGCCGTAAGCACTAAAATATGGTATTAAAAATGCAATATTTCAACTTTATTTGACATCCCGTAATGACCTAAAAATTAAGACAAAAACATAGAAAATTTAATTGTGGTCAAATATGGGCTTAACTTATACACATTTTTATGGCTTGTCAAAGTAGAAAAGTAGGACTTGATTATAGTCCAAAAAAATTGGGAATTTGCGCCCCTATTATTTGATGTTATAATTTTTGGAGTAGTATTTTTTTTTAAAGATTGTTTGGTTGAAAAAAGAAGGAAATTCTTTTAGTTTATACATAATATTATTTTATTGAAAAATGCGTAATTGAAAAAAAAATGAGAAAAAAATGTATTATAAATTTAATGGGGCTCAAACGGAGGTTGAATGTCGTTTGGATGTAATAAATTACATTTGGGTTTCATTTCAAAATCCTAAACACTAATCTCAAAATCATCGATCAATCCAGTAGTATAAAATGGTCAAGCCTTTCAAAAATGCTCACAACACTGATTTTTGATTTATAAAAAGAAAAACGAAGGAAAAACTGAAATTTGGTGGGTCTCGTGACCTAGCAGGACTCAATGTGGGTTTGCCAATTGTCAAACGGGGGCTAATTTTTATCGTTCAGAAAATTCACTATGGACGTTTAATGTCAAGTTCATCGAGAAATTGTACGAGTATTTAGGCAAATGTTGAGACACAAAGTGTGTATTTAAAACTTGGAGACTAAAAAGCACATCGACACTAAAAAGTAGTGACTAAATGTGCAATTTATTTCTTATTTAAGACTCTGGGGTTTGGTTCAGGGACACGTGTACCGAATTTGGGTAGAAGGGGAATATGAAATTGAGTTGGTTTTATTGCGGGGGCGTATGGTGGTCCAATGAGAGGTTTATACGTAGCAGGCCGATGGGGGCCAGGTGTCTCCGTCGTTAATGCGGTGGCGGAATATCAAAGGGGTTACGTACTGAACTGGATTTGAGAAGGGAGACACGTTGCAGGCTTCTTTAAAGGCGGGCCCCAACGGAACTTCAAATGCTCAACTTTTAATCGACAGACGTTGTGATTTGAAACCGCCGTTTACGAAATCTAGAAATTTGAAAATTCAGTTTTTATATTAATTATATACTATTGGATAAGCTACCAAAGAAATAAAGCCTATCTTTTAAACATTTTTTTTTATCACATATTTTCACAATAAAATAATTTTTACATAAATTCAATTTTTTTTAACTTTTTAATTACACATTCTAAAAAAAATTTACTATTAAAATTTTTTTTCTTTCAAAAAAATTTCTGTAAAACAAGGGTTGAGAAGTCTTGAACAGTTAAACTTTTAGGGTCCGTTTGATTGCAAAGATGAAATTTGGGTGGAAAGAAAACGAATTTCAGAAAATTGAATTACCTAGAAATTATTTTACTGAGAATTGTCAATTATGGTATTTGATTGATATAATTTTTCAAGTGAAAAATGTTGAAATAAAATTGTATTTTGATGTTCATTTGACTTGTTTTTCATGAAAATTATCATTTTATGGGATATTCACTTCTACAATTGGTTCTAGAATTTTTTTTTATTGCCAAAAAAAATAATTCGAATATCATTTGCATTTTGGTGTTCATTTGATTTTGTTTTACATGAAAATTGTTAATTTAATCAATATCCTATTTTACAATTGTTCCTAAAATTTGTTATCATTGCCTAAAATAAAAAATATTAAAAAAGCAGCCAAGAAAAGGATCAAAAGCCAAGAAAACAGGCACGTGAAGGGAAAGTCAAGAAAATCATTTGCCTAGAAAATTTTGGCTATCAAACAAGCTAAAAGTGAGAAATGAAATTTGTTTTTCATTTTCCATGGAAAATTTGTGACTACATAGCCTTTGTAGCAACCTGTTTGGGAGTGATTTTTTTGTTTAAAAAATTAATTTTTTGATCGTTATTTCACTATTTCAGAAGTCATATTTGACTTCTTCTCTCACATGTAGACACCACTTTTCTCCTAATGATCAAAAAATCAATTCTCAAAATCACTCTCAAACATATTCTAAATTTATTTGGTTATGTTTTGAAAAATTTCAAATGATTAGACAATTTTTAAATGATTAGACAAATGTAGACCGTAGACTAGACGTTCAAGGCAGAAAAGATCACCTAAAACTCTTTCGCTGAATTTAGACCTTTTTTTGAGCTCTATTTTTTAATAATATATTTTTTTCAAGCTTATTCTTCACCGAGTAAATATACGGAAATGACTCTTGGACTGTAGCAAATTTTAACATTGACCTTTGACCCATTAAATGAATTAAAAAAAATTAAGTTAAAACATAACTTTACACTAAAATGACGATTTTACCCTTCAATGCTACAGACTGTTTAAAAGTTTCCTCTCTAATTGACCGATCTAAAAAAAATTGACACCACAATTTCCAGAAAAACTGATCGATCAACCACCGGTCGAAACCACCAATGTCATAGTGATTTCAATCGACGACCAGAAGAACGTATCTACCACCGAGCAAACTATTCCGATTAGTTTTCTATCAAGAAATTGTATTTTTTGTTCCAATTTTCATTAATTAATTATTTTACATTTATTCGGTTTAATTAGATGAAGATGTATGAATAGATTGTGGGTCATACTAGGGTGAAAAATGTGAATTTTTTGTAATTTTTGGACCTATCCATCGTCGACAATGGCGATTTTCGGCGATAGGTCGTAAAAGACGGTGACTGTTAACAGTCGGCCCATTAATATTTATATTCTTTAATTTTTTTAAAAATGTATTTAATTTGAACTTTTTTTCTAAATATATTTTCCAAATATAATATACAAGATTAATTTTCTTTATAACTAATTTATTTTAATTTTTAAATTTGTATTGAATTTATTTTGTTATTAGCGTCAATGTCTTGCGTATTGTATAGTAGTTAGAATTCAGTTGCCTTGATTTTTTGAGATTATGCGTTATTTTATTATCTCTTATTCAGTGTTCTAACATTTGAATTTTTGCAGGATGGAATATCATTTAGATGGGGAGTTGAGACGGATGGCGGGGAAGGCTACTTGGAACAGTAGCTTTGAGAGTTTTACTGCTGGGTTGGAGCTGGTCTAC